TATAGAAGAATCCTATATATTTGTATAAATTTAATATATTAAAATTTAATATATTCTCGAGAAGAATCAATATATAGATCATTAATATTCTTCTATATTAGCTTCAAATATTTTATGAAATCCCTGAATAAAAAATATTCTTAAATTCCAATAATAAATTATTCTCAAATATTTCTATCCAAAATCATTAGATATCTTTAATATCTAAATATAAATTGTTTTATTATATATCGATTTTTTATATTTAATTATATTTAATGAAATTTCTTATTAATAATATTATTCCCGATAAATTATATCAAATAATTGTCAAATATTTTTATCAGAATCGCGAAAATCAATTGTGTCTTGAATATTTTCAATTTTCTAAGAAGAAAATAATAATATATATCATATGTCTCGGAATTGAGAAATTAGATTCAAAAAAATGAATTCTTTTCTCGAATGCGCAGTAGAAGGATTCTCATTTCAAAAGTTGGGCTCCAGGGGTCCAATCATTAACCAAAGATCGTTGTTAAAGAGTTGCAAAGCCTTCGCAAGGCATTGTAAGCATTCGCGTTTGTCGCGAGTGTGCCGCGCCCGTGCCCCAGACCACCAGCCCCCAGCCAGCCCTAGCCAGCCCTAGCCAGCCCTACCCAGCCGCCCCCAGCAGCCCCCAGCAGCCCCCAGCAGCCCCCAGCAGCCCCAGCAGCCCCAGCAGCCCCAGTTGCCACCCGCCCCCACCCCCCACCCCCCACCCCCCACCCCCCAGCCCCCAGCCCCCAGCCCCCAGCCCCCAGCCCTTCGTGACCCCTATCAAGTTCTCTTTAAATCAAAAATTCGAATATCTCCCTGGTGATAATTTATCAGATATGCCTCCCGAAATATATCTATTCAATTCTTCTCAAAATATATCATAATTATTTTCGAAAATCAAATATTTTTATGAATTATTTCGGTTCTTATCTATTAAAACCTAAAAATATATTTATATCTTATATATAAATCATTAATTTTCAATCGATTTCTCTAAAATTTCTTATTTGTTGAAATAGAAATATGAATTTATATAAATATCGAAATAATCAATTTTGATCAATAATTATTTGAAATTTCATATATATTTATCTATTTATCTCCATCTATTTAATCTTATCTCTATTCTTATTATATGTCTTTCTATTTATTCAAATCAATATATATATATATATATATTGATATTCAAAATTCAATATTTTATGAATTAGATATTCAATCGAAAACAAGAGCCGATTTTTATCAAATATGAGCGATCATGAAATGGCTCTAAATATATAACAATATATCAAATCTATAACAATTTGGTTCGTTATTAGAGACAAAATTCTGCGATGGCATATTTTGCCTAATATGATATCCGATATTGATATAGCCATTTCTTTCGCATGTACCAGCCCAGGGGTCGGAAGCCGCACACATCTCACACCCTATTTGGGCAAGTATCGAAGCCTCCACCCTAGATTTTCGAAAAGACCATCATTGTGCGCTTGAAGTTGATGGTGTTGAACCTGGCTGTACCAATCCCCACGGACATACATGCTTCAAGTTTCAATCAAACAACAAGAAAGCCAAAAGCTTCAATGCACCCAACACAATAACAACTGCACACAACCTTTTTGCTCAGGCCCAGCACATGTACCACAAACTCAGACAACAAAAATAGAGAGGAACCAAAAACACACCCTAAACCTACACCCTCAACTCTAAAGCCCGAAACCTTGAACCTGCAAACCCGAAACCCTAAACCCCAAATCCCCAAACCCTAAAACCCAAAGCTCCTAAAGCCCTAAACCTTGAACCAACTGCCCCTAGACCTTGAACTTGGAAACCCAAACCCTAAACCCTAAAGCACCGAAACTGGCCCTCAGCCGGCCCTAAGCCCCCAAAGTCCCCCAAACCCTAAAACCCTAGACCCAGGGAACCCAATACCCCTTAAGCACGGAATAGACCTGAAATTATAGGGGCCGTAATATTATGTTTTAAGGTCTATATCCTTCATTAAAGGGTATTTTTGCTCTCTGGTAAGCCCCTAAACCCTAAAGCCCCGAAACTGGCCCCAAGCCCCCAAAGCGCAGAGAGGGACCATTAAAGGGGTTTTGGGCTCTCTGGGGAGGCCCTAAACCCTAAACCCTAAACCCTAAACCCTAAACTTCCCCCCCAAAGCGCAGAGAGGGACTCGTCAGGGCAACTCTCGACCTTCCTGCGGATCTTCAGCGTGAGGAGATCCTCGTACTTGAGTCCAAGATCCTCAAACTGCCTGACGGCTTAGGGTTTGGGGTTCAGGGTTTGGGGTTTAAGGTTTGAGGTTTGGGATTTTGGGGTTTTGGGGTTGGATTGTGGGGTTTTGGGGTCAGGTTTAGGGTTTAGGGAACAACTTGAGTCCAAGATCCTCAAACTGCCTGGCTTACAAACTCCCTAGACCCTAAACCCTAAACCCCCTAAACCCTATACCCTAAAGGGGTATACATGGGTGTACTTGAGTCCAAGATCCTCAAACTGCCTGACGGCTTAGGGTTTGGGGTTCAGGGTTTGGGGTTTAAGGTTTGAGGTTTGGGATTTTGGGGTTTTGGGGTTGGATTGTGGGGTTTTGGGGTCAGGGTTTTAGGGTTTAGGGTTTAGGGAACAACTTGAGTCCAAGATCCTCAAACTGCCTGGCTTACAAACTCCCTAGACCCTAAACCCTAAAGGGGTATACATGGGTCTACTTGAGTCCGCGACCTTGGGCTCTAGGGCTGTTGGGGCTCATGGGGTTTTAGCGTTTCGGGTGCAAGGCTTTAGGGTTTAGGGTTTTGGGTTTAAGGGTTCAGGGATATGGGAGTTTCCTTAAAATAAGGGGTACCTTATTAGGGGGTCCTTATAATAAGGATCCTATTATCTAGGGTACTGTATTAGGGTCCCCTATTTTCGGAAACCCCCCTATGCCAAACTGCCTGATTGGTAAACCCGTCAGTAGGGGAATTGAAAGGACTGCATAGGGTGTGCTTGCAAGGGTTCGATGGTGGTCTCTAGGGCTAGCAACTAAACCCTAGTCTCTAGGGCTAGCAACTAAACCCTAAACCCTAAACCCTAATTTACTGGGGTTTTCAGGTTAGGAGAACGGCGCGGAAAGCTTCGAGCTCCAGAGTTTAGAGGGGTCGTGCAACGGTTCATAGGGCGTTGCAGGGCTGTAACGAAGGGTTTAGGGTTTAGGGTTGTAATGAAGATACTATCATCATTCGAACAAGGCTTCTGGGGTGCGCAACTACTGTCCCCAAAACCTTACTTCCCCAATAAGCCAGGGAAATAAAAGGTCGAACTTTCAGATTGCTGCTAAATGATACGAACCCAAAAAGTTTAAAGGTTGGGTATGGGGGAACTAAGTTTAATGGTAACTGAAACCAGGTTCCTGAACCAGAGCCCAGTTGCTTGATGACCCAAGCGTTGTCCCTGCAATTCACATGGCCTGAGGGCATTTGGGACTTTCCGAAAATTGGGGTACCTTATCTTGGGGTCCTTACTATAAGGAACCGATTATTTAGGGTACTACTAGGGTCCCCTATTTTGGGAAACCCCCATTTGGTGCAAATACGTTCAGAGACGCAGACGGATGTGAGGTGCCTTGAGAGTTCAGAACTGGAGCCCTAGGATGAAGGTTTAGGGTTTAGGGGTTGGTTTGCGGTTTTGGGGTTTAGGGTTTGGGGTTTAGGGGTTTAGGGTCTAGGGTTTGGGGTTTTGGGGTTTAGGGTTGGTTTGCGGTTTTGGGGTTTAGGGTTNNGGTTTAGGGTTTAGGGGGTTCAGGCTCAGGGTTTCGGTTATACCCGTGACCTGCGCCCGGTTGCCCAGGTATAGCCCAGGATAGTATGACGCCTTTCTGCGCGCCGTTTGCAATATTTCTCATGTAGGCATCCTGAAATGCTTCTGGTATGTGCTCCGCCACTTCCAGTGAAAGGACAAGATCGGCCTTGGGAAGCGTAGGGTCAAGCTTGCTCAAGTCTGCAACTGAACAAAGATTTCTGGAGAAGACTTTCACGGCCGGGTTCCCATCCACGCAAGCAGTTTCAAAGCCATGGTCTCTCATATACAGTGCATAGGCGCCGGTACCGGCCCCATAGTCAGCGAAGGAGTTGCAATCCCATAACTGCGCGATGTCTCGGATTACTTCACTGGCGCAGTTGTTGAGACCTCCATTTTTCCGAGCCAGCAGATGAAATACACTGGAAACACCAGTCCATGCCCCTGTCTCCGGGTCAAAGACAGGCTCCCGCAGCTGGATTAGAATAAACAGCAATCCTGTGAAAAGCAGGACTGCCAGAAAACGGCACCTTCCAGAGAGCATGGCTCTACAATCCGCTCCAGCACATGTTCTACAGCGACCTACCTTCGGACGTTCATTGCTCACTAAGAACACGCCGATTGTGCGTTGCCTAATCTCGCCAACGAAAAAGCCTATGTCCGTAGCATCCCTAAGTCCCTAAGCCCTAAACNNCCTTAAACCCTAAATCCTATAAACCCTACAACCCTAAACCCAACCATCATGCTTGAGCCTGACCAGGGCAAAACATCGCCCATGATGGTCGCCAAGGTTTCCGACTAAGGAGGGAGGTTTCGGGTTTAGGGCTAGGAGCTGGATTATCTTCCGCACGCTCCACCTAAACAGGTTTTTGGCTAACGCGTGCCTTAATGACCATGCGGTTTTGGCGGGAATTTGCGGGTTGACGGCTTCCCTTTCTTGGGGGGTGGGATGAGGTGGGGTGGGCGGGGACGGGGGGTTGATGATCCTCATGAACATCATCAATATGCCGGCCATCATCATCACCATCTTCGTGCTTCGACACACACAGAGGTAAGAACAGTACTGTCACGTCCTCAGCATGCGCATCATCATCATCATCATCATCATCATCATCATCATGGTCCTCATCCTCATCCTCATCCCCATCCTCATCCTCATCCTCATCCTCATCATCATCATCATCACCATCATCGTGATCGCTTTTCCAGCATGTTCCGTTTCAATACTCCAAGGCAGCTGTCGACGGACCTTAGTCGGTTGGCAGACGCCGAAGAAATGTGTGACAAAAGAGGCCGGCTGCAAAATTCGCATTCGGAAGGTTAGAAATCTCCCATTGGGTCCAGCGTTTTCGTGCTTCGACACAAAACCCTGGCAAAAACGGTTCTTTGAAAGCATCCAAAACAAACCTTTCCGTCAACAAAGTGCATGCAACCCCACGGTTACAGCGATTTTGCAAATCTTACGTACCCGTGGACCGTGCCACAACCCCATGGTCATGTCTGGCCGGTGTTGCCTTTAGGGCTTTAGGTTTGGGCTATCAACGTTGACGAATCAGGGTTCAGGGGGGTTTAACACCAATGTAAGCTCCAAGCCCTCTAACCCAAACCAACCCTTCCAACGCCAAACCGCTTTGACACCAAATCCAGCTCTCAAGGCCTTGTTTTGGCTAGAGTTTATAGGATTTCAGGGTTGTCCAGGGCTTTTTGCACACATGATAGACCTAGCCAGGCCTCACAAGACGGGACCTCGGCCCAAGCCCGGCTCTGAAATATAAAGATCTCTTGCCCGATCACACTCGTGGTTCAGGATGTATTGTGACTGATTATTCAGAGTAGAGCTCTGGGGTATACTTTAACATGTAGCTACAGAGGATCAGGATCTATAGACGTCGTAAATTTTGGGGCCTACATTGCCCCCTAAACCCTAAACCCTAATTGAGCCTTCATAGTCAAAAGGGAGGCCGGGAATCCCCGCTGCAGGTCGGCATATACTGCCTTGACCCTAAACCCTATACCCTAAAGCCCCAAAACCTACTTTTTGTAGGGTCCCTATAAATCCCATGTTAGGGTTCATAATAAGAACCTACAAAAATGTGGGTTTGGGGTTCTTAAGGTATACCCTAAAGCCCCGAACACTAAACCCCTAAACCCTATCCCTAAACCCCCTCAAAAGGAAAACCTCACAACCCTAAACCCTCAACCTTAGACCCTACAATAGAAGGGAGTCTGGCTTTCTGGCGGAGTGGGGATCCCAACAAGACAGATAAAGGCTCAACAGAAAAAGTGCCCCAAACCCCCTATGACCAGAAAGGCAGATAAGCTTCGAAGCTTAAGCTACTACGAGGGTGAAAGCTGAACTGCGCATTTCCTGATAATTACTATGAGGCTGTGGGGATTTGGGGGTAGCGACTTGTTCTTGAGAGTGTGAAGATGGTGTGCGGACCTGAGTTGACGAATTTGTACCCGGATTTTGCAAGGATACCTAAACAGAATCACACCTCTAGTTGATGCGGTGACTGGGAATAATGATAGGATTTAGGGTTTAGGGTTTAAGATTTTGGGCTTAGGATTTAAGATTTAGGGTTTAGGGTTTAAGGTTTATAGGGATTAAGGTTTAGGGTTGAGGGTTTAAGATTTAGGGTTTAAGGTTTAGGGTGTAGGGTTTAAGAATCCTTTGCTGTGGGTTTAGCGGCTTAGGAGCCTACTTAAGGGCCCAAAGGACTTAGTAAGTAGTGGCGTAAGTGAAGTTATAGGCGCTTCAAGTGAGTCTATCTTACAGTAGAAACCCAAAAGTTGGAAACCTAATAGCCTCAATCCTTAAGAGTAATGTATAAGGAGCCCCAGCACTATTTGTCCTTGATCCGGCTTTGGGGTTTCCTATAATTACTATGAGCTGCAACGCACAGATCCTCAACTAGCTTCTTCAATGCCTCTTGAAAGTATGCGTAGATAGAATCCTCTGAAGCGCATCAACGAGAAAGTTAAAATATCCTGAAGGCCTACCTACCCAACTCTAGTCAAAGTCTTTCAGCCCCGAAATTCTAGACCAAACCCCGACGTTGGTCCTCTCTCACTACAGAAGGGCTGGGGCTCGAAGACTGTGCTTTCCGTTCCTATTTGATCTGTTTGGCGGATTCGTTGGAGCAGCGCTGCTAGAATAAGACTTTTCCTGCTAATGTCGACGGCCTCTTCTTGGGCGGATAGTGCGGACTGGGTCAAGCCTTGTATCCTAAACCCCAAAGCGTCATAAGGTACTACGTATTGTGGAGACCCCTGAGAGGCCGCAGGAGAACAAGGCGCAACTCAATTAATAAAGAGGACACAATTCCTTTCAGGTGTTCCTTTACGGGCTTATAAAGAGTTGTTTTTTTGAAGGTGCCTTTAAGGGGTTCCTTCAAAGGGTCTATAGAGATACAAGTAGTGACAGGGCTAGCATAAGACCCGCCTAAACCCTAAAACCTAAACCC